CATTTATGTATACATTTGTCTATATCTATCTCGATTCGTTTTGGCTGTTACAAACAACCGTTATGTGAACAAAATTAATATACCCTTGTGCACAAGTGCGCTCGGGTATAAAAACCAACAACACGCTTTTATTACAAGAAGAACTAAAAGGAAAAAAATTATTTATTGATTTAAAGATTCGTTAAATAAGGATATGAAGTTCCCTAACTTGATGTTATTTAGCCCTTTAAATAGCTTAAAATAGGATTAAAGTAATTGGCACGTAGTCATGGTCGAAATAAAGTCCACTGAAAAGTTAGCTGCAGCTATTTTTTACTGGCATCCCATTGGTAGAGGGCTTTGGGTGTACGAATTTGTTGTAACATCAGGAGTTAAGGACTTGCTCTAGCTGCTAGTCTTTTAAAATTTCCTCTAATCACGTCGTAAGCAGATTTCCCATGTGAGCTTGCAACAAAGTTCAATTCTGCCTTTCCTTGAAGCGATTTTCATGATTTCAGACCTTTGGTAAAGTTAATATGATTTATTTATGTTGTTTTTGTTTTTTACACCCGTTTCCTCTTTCAAAAATATATAATTTCATAAAATTGCAATGTCTATTCATCATATTGCTCGAGCATTAGACGATCTAGAGTCCAAACGCATAAGTAGCCCATTACGCCCATTTGGGTACTTAAAGTTGACATTATAGATAATGTTTTTATGTAAAAATAAAAATTAAAAAAAATGCTATAATCAACAAAAAGTCAAAAAGAAAAATGTTTGCTTAATTTATTTTTGTTTTTTATACGTTGCACATTAATGTATAAAATGTACAATTAAAGCCCATAATTAGACGGAAGAAATACATTTTTTTTCATTAAGTTGAGTTTAAAGGTTTCCAAGATACAGCACTTTAAAGAAAGGTATGTATGACGTTTTCTTAAAATTTAAGTCCCGTGTAAATAGGCAACCCTACGTTATATCGGCAAAATATGCTGCACGTATATTCATGTCACCTAGACCTTCCATCTCTTCAACTTTTATCCAAATCCTTAGAGGTCGCGCACAGAGATGGCCGCGGTGACATGAATTGCCTCATATTTTAAACGTAGAAAATAATTCGAAAAAGTTTTTAATTAATCGCACGAAATCGGTATTTTGTTACATAGTGAGTCGGTGTGATGAAGTCGTTTGGGTTAACTCGAAACGACGTCGAAACGAAGTCGTTTCTCATACAAACGTCGTTTATCCTCATCGAATCGAAAGTCGTTACGACGTCGGTTTGGTGAAGTCGTTCGGGTGAATTCTATTACACCAGCTATAAAACTGATTAACTGTCATCAGTGGTTGCAATTTTAATTTTCAAATTTAATAGTTAATTCTTCTGACAAGCGATATACAAGGTCAGCATTAACATCATCGACGACAGTTAAGTCTAGAGTCGATTTTTATATAGGAATTTTATTTTTGTAAAAACTGCAGATAGGTCATATTGAATATAATTGGTAATGTTTGACGATAAGATTTTTTTTTGGTCAGAATTTTATGTGAATAAAATTTTTCTCATTCTTCATTTATTTAATTTTAAATATCTATGTATATACCGACGGTGGGCAATCGCGGCTCTTTGCTTAGCAAAGTACGGCTCTTTTTACTTTCTCTTTGCCTAGAACATTTTGGCTCCTTTTACTTTTTAAAATACACATTTTTTGCTGGACATTCTTTTCCACTGTGTTGTTTTTTTTATATACACATACGCAAATTGTGATCGGTGGAGCATTTGCAAAACTTGAAGTTGTCTCTACAAGGAGAGAATAAAAATATTTCGATGGCTGAGTGGAAGATCGACCTATCTCGGCAGCCAGTTCAAAAACGCCCCATCTCAGAAAACTTTTCAAAAAGGCCCAATTTCAGAATTTTATTGAAAATAAGCTGAGATAGGGCGTTTTTGAATGGGCAGCTAAGATAGGACGTTCCTCAACCAAATTCTGAGATAGGGCGTTTTTCAATCAAATTCTGAGGTAGGGCGTTCTTGAAAAGTTTTCTGAGATAGAGCGTTGTTGAAAAATTTTCTGAGATAGGGCGTTTTCGAACTGGGTACCGAGATACGATTTTTGATTTGTCGCAAAATATTTTATGTTCTGAAACTAAACTACGTCTTTTTATTCATGATCCCAAAAAAAGAATATTTCATAATTTGCCATGGCTAGAAAAAATATTGCACATATTTAAAAGCAGATTTTGAAAAAATATTTGCCCATTTGAAATTATTTAACTGTACGTTTGCATACTTCATAAACCCTTTTTATGTAAAATAATTGAGGATGAATTTACAATATCCGAAATACTCCTTTTTATGAAAAGCGAAGAAGAGTTGGAATTTTTTGGATTAAAAACAGATAAGGCACCTGAAATGCAGCATAAAGCCTTGCCATTGCTTGAATTCCGGCAACAAATACCAGATTTAAAATATCCGCTGTTGAAAACAGCTGCGTGCCGTATTATTGTTGACCGATTACGGCCGAACAATTTGACCGTCCGGACTGATGCGCACACTTAACCAGATTATTTTCCGACCGTATTTGTACGCACAAATCTAGTTTTCATTTCAATTTTGTAATCAGTGAAATATTTTGATAAATTTTAATTGACATACTCTAAACATGTGATTTTATATGTAAGTTTTTTGTTTTGCACCCAATATGTTAATTCTTCGCAGTCCATTTTGGTACTTTCACCTGACATCGGGTGAGAAAACATACATACAAACATGTTTGTTATGTTTGTATTTATCGTCACTGACGGACGTCAACGGCCGATTTCGGTACGGTTATCGTTTTAGGTGTGAGACCGCTCATATAATCACAAGTGTTTATTCATATCGCCCGCAATAAACTTACNCGTGTCGTGCTTCTGCTCTTGCTATTTGGTTTGTTAGTGGTTTTAACATGGACTCTTGCGGAAAGTGTGGCAAATCATTTATGCGAAATGATACCTTAATTGTGCCGTGCAGTGGTTTTTGTCAAAAACAATTTCACCGTACTTGCTGTGTGGGCCAAATATCAGAATATGATGTCAGACTATTTAACCAGAATAAGCATATCTGCTATCTTTGCCCAGAGTGTTTGTTATTGCCTGCAAAATTAACAAGGTCTTTGGATTCTTTCATGGCTAGGCATTAAAATGGCTTAGACTCTATCGTAACCACAATAATGGACCAATTTGGTGACATTCATAAAGAAATTGCTTTAATAAATCAAAAAAACTGTGAACACAACAAAAATGTTTCATCATGTTTAAAAACTTTATGTACAGAATTCGGTGCCCTAAAGGATGTTGTTGCTAATTCTAAATCAACTGCTAAGGTGAACAACAACAAGAATAAGTTAAACGGTTTTCCTGACCTACGGAGAGCGAAGTCACCAACCTCGGCTATGGAAAATGTTTCACACTCTCAAACTGACATGGTTGCTAAAACGCCTGTTCCGTCATTGGCTGAATCTTCGGCTTTTGAGAGTTCTGAGAGTTCTGCGATTGTTAACAATGCACTTTCACTTACTTCAGCGGAGGTGGATAATAATGTTTCTTCAGATGCTTTGCCGTCGGCTTCTCAACAAATGCGAACTGCATTATCAGCTAATATGATAACTGCACATAATGCTTCTTCATCTTCTCCTGCTGACGTGAATAATGTCACTTCTGTCGCTTCGTCATCAGCTTCTAAACAGATGCCGACTGCGTTATCAACTGCTTTGCCGTCGGCTTCTCAACAAATGCGAACTGCATTATCAGCTAATATGATAACAGCAAACAATGCTTCTTCATCTTCTTCCGCTGACGTGAATAATGTCACTTCTGTCGCTTGGTCATCAGCTTCAAAACAGATGCTGACTGCGTTATCAACTGCATTGGCTACTGTTACTAATACATCTTCACCTTCCACTGCTGTTATCAATGCTACTCCCAATGCTTTGCCATCTGCATCAAAACAACTGCAAACTGTTTCGTCAGATATATTAAATGCATCTACCCAGCCGCAACTCGGTGCTGATTGGATTACTGTTCCGCGAAAGAAAGTGCCCAAGCGGAAAAATGTCGTGGTTGGCCGTAATGAAAATAATGATCTGGGAGTATTTTCGCCTCTTAAGTGGCTCCATTTATCATCGTTCAAGCCAACGGTTTCGGAAGTCGATATTATTAATTACGTGTCGAAGCAAGTCATCGTTGATAAGCAACAAATTGCCTGCTATAAATTGGTAAAGAAGGATACAAATGAGACATCACTAAAATATATCAACTTCAAATTGGGAGTTCCTGAAGATGTATATTTTAATTTGCTGAAGCCAGAAATCTGGCCAACAAATGTTAATATTCGACAGTTCCGTTTTTTTCAAAAACAAGGAGGGCAACCTCCTCCAAGTTAGTTGTTCCTCCTACGCATAATAATCCATTAAAAATCTATTTTCAAAATATCTCTGGCATGAGAACCAAAGTAAATGATGTTTATCTTGCTACAACTCATACGGATTTCGATGTTATTGTCTTAGTCGAGACATGGCTTAACGCGAATTTTTGCAATGAGGAGTTCTTCGACCGAAATTTGTTTTCAGTCTTTCGCAAGGATAGAGACAGTACAGCGACAGATACCACTCGTGGGGGCGGTGTTCTCATTGCTGTAAAAATTGGTATTGGCGCCGCAGTCGTTACCCTAAAAAATGCTGACTCTCAACTCGACCAGCTATGTGTATCTATTGATGGTGATGGTGCGAAACTATACATTTGCGTATCCTATATACCTCCTAACAGCTCAGAGAAATTATATAGTGACCATGTAGATAATATTTTAGATTTATCATCATTTTCAAATAAGGAAGCCCAATTGTGTCTACTTGGTGACTATAATCTCAGCAAAATTATGTGGTCATGCCTTCCGGATGATACTGTGCTCATTCCTAGTAATGTAAATTGCCCTAGTGAAATTTATTTAATAGACGGTTTCTATAGCTTACAATTAAGACAAATCAATCACTTTGAAAATGAGCTTAATAGGATTTTAGATCTTGTATTTATCTCATACGACCTTAGGTTTAAGCTATCCAGGTCAGACTGTCCAATATCTCCAACTGACAAGCATCATATCCCACTCATACTGGAGCTTGAGTTTTATGAGTATTCTGCCTGCCCACAAGAAACTGCCTTGTGGTCGAATTTTAATTATTCACGTTGCGACTTTGAGCATATAAATAACCTAATTTCTGGCGTGGATTGGGAAATCTTATTCTCGGAGTGTAGTCTCCCGGATTGTTTTGTTAAATTCAGATCTCAACTTGAACGAATTACTAGGGAAAACATCCCAACATTCTCCAACCGTGTTCATAAACTACCGTGGTATAATAGGAGGCTAAAAAAATTAAAGAATTTACGAAATAAATTTTATATACTTTTTAAAAATAGTGGTAGTATGCAGCATAAAGTGTTGTTTGAGAAATATATGGCTGATTTCAATTGTTTAAACAAGTTTTTATATAACAAATACCTAATGGGTTTCGAAAATAACATCAAAACTAATCCAAAAGCTTTTTGGACCTTTATCAACTCCAAGCGTACTTCATCGGCATTTCCAATTTCCATGCATTACGAAGGGAAGCAGTCATCCTCAATGAATGACACAGCAAATTTGTTTGCTGATTTTTTCAAATCAAATTTTGTGACTGATTATTCTTCGAGTGGTGAGGCTACCTACAATAATAGTCCTGCATCGTTAGATTTCGGATCTTTGATGTTATCGGAAGATGATATTTTTTACGGTATAAGAAGCTTAAAGACCTCCAAACAAGTGGATGTTCATCAAATCTCGTCTTATTTTCTTAAGCAATGCATCGCATCTATTTCCGAGCCATTGCTTCTCTTATTTAACTTATCACTAGCGTCAGGTCATTTTTTGGATGATTGGAAAATCACCTCTGTGTCTCCTATTTTTAAAACAGGTGACAAAAGTGACATTTCGAATTATCGGCCTATTTCTAAGCTTCCTAATATTGCGAAATTATTTGAAAAAATTGTTAGTAGTAAACTTTCATTTGCCATTAAACAATCAATATCCCCCTCTCAACATGGGTTTGTACCAGGGCGCTCTACCGTGACTAACCTAGCCGTTTTTTCAAATTATTGTATATCAGCGTTTGTGGGTGGCTACCAGGTTGATACCATATACACTGATATATCTAAAGCCTTTGATCGCGTGTCACATAATTTACTCCTGCAAAAGTTAAAACATTTGGGTATTCACTCAAGCTTTCTGTCCTGGATAAAGTCTTATCTTTGCAATAGAGTAAATAAAGTTGTTGTCGATGGGATTAGCTCCTCCCCTTTTACTGCGACCTCGGGAGTTCCGCAAGGAAGTATTTTGGGCCCTTTGTTCTTTGTTCTCTTTATGAATGATTCCAGTGCTTGTTTTAAACATTGTGAATACCTGTTATACGCAGATGACCTGAAGGTTTTTAAAAAAATTGAAAATGCCTCTGATATTGGTGTTCTTCAAGCCGAGCTTAATAATTTTTGTGAGTGGTGTTGTCGTAATAAATTAACACTTAATACAAATAAATGTTTTTCTGTAACTTATTGCAAGTCTCGTTCCCCCTTACTATCGTCTTACTCTATTTCAAAAGTTGTCCTGAAGTTGAGTACCAAAATTAAGGATCTAGGTGTCGTGTTTGATTCAGCGTTCACATTTGTCGAACATATCAATTATATAATTCCCAAAGCGTTCTCGTCATTAGCTTTCATTAAGCGAAATAGTGCCCAATTCAAGGACCCCTATACAAGAAAGCTTTTATATAATGCGTTTGTCAGGTCCAAACTGGAATATGCCTCTATAATATGGAATCCTTCTTACGAAGTTCACCATAATAGGATTGAGCGTGTACAAAAATGTTTTTTAAAATTTGGTTTGGCTCAAATTAGGTTTGATAATCCTACTCCACCATATATATCTCGCTGCAAGTTGATTAGCTTGCAAACTCTACGTAGTAGGCGGACTATTTCGGGTCTGATGTTTTTGCATGATATTCTGAGTGGGGAAATTGACTGCCCCACCCTATTAGATCGCATTAAACTCAATGCTCCAATGAGGATGCTACGCCAACATGATATGTTTTCGATTGACCTATGTAAGACTAATTATGCTCTAAATGAACCAATTATAAGGATAATGAGTGATTTTAATGCTTTATGCAAAGTGTACAATGTAAACATTTTTGCCAATAGGATAGAATTTAAGACAACCTTGTGTACATGTTATTCTTAATGTTACAGTTTATAAATTTTTTTTTTTTTTGTTATTATAGTCTGTAAGATTATACTAATCATAGACTCCAATAAATAAATAAATAAATAAATAAATAAATATGGCCGATATCGGCCGACCTCAATTCGGCCGATGCCGGCTGCAGTGTGCGCGTAGCGTAAATTTCGTAAAGTCAAAATACCGTTCACGATTAGTTGCATTCGCGTACCTGATAATTATTGAAAGTTATAAAAACTGTCAGCTTTTTGTGTTCGCGTACGCAAAAAACTTGCAAAGTAGGTGAAATTGAGAGAGCAAAATGGTAATTCATTATAATTATGGTTCACTAAAGAGCTTACAAAATTGAAAAATAAAAAGTCGCTTTCTTTTAAACTGTATAAAAGAACGGGCTTACACAGTGATTACATAAAGTACTCGGTTTTGAGGCATAGCTACTTTGCATTAAATAAGAAATGGTATAAGTCATATTTATGTAAAATTAAAAAGAATTTAATTAACAATCCTAAATCCTTTTATGGTTTCGTAAATTCAAAGCTTAAGGCACATGGATTTCCGTCCGCTATGCACTATCGCAATACTGTGTCTAGCGACAGCCAACTCATTGCCAACATGTTTGCTCAGTTCTTTAGGTCCAATTATTCGGTAGACTCCTCTAGGAGTGGAGACTATCCGTATGAACTTCGTATGACTAACTCAGCCTTTATTCCAGTAATTTCTTCCGATGAAGTTTTACACTATTTAAAAACCCTTAAAAGCGTAATTTAGGTCTGGACCTGATCATATTCCGACCTGTTTTCTTAAAAACTGCGCTGAGAATATTTGTGAGCCTTTAACAACTCTAGTCAACTTGTCACTAAAACATAGCGTTTTTCCATCAGCTTGGAAGGAATCTTTCATAATACCACTTCACAAAAACGGCAGCAGGTCTTCAATAGAAAACTATCGAGCGAAGCTCTCCGCTATCCCCAAATTATTCGAAGCAATTGTTGTTAATCAGCTGACATATTCTATATCTTCTTCAATTTCACAATTTCAACACGGATTTTCTAAAGAAAAATCTATTATCACTTATTTATTGGAGTTCACAACTGATGTCTCAAACCGTTTTAGAGAAAATGCTCATACCGACGTAATATACACGGATTCCAGTAAAGCTTTTGGCAAAGTAAGTCACTCGTTATTCATCCGTAAACTCGACCTATCGGCTTTCAGCCAAGTCTTCTTCAATGGATCTCTTCTTACCTCTCTGATAGAACACAAAGAGTCCGATTCTGTTCCTGATATTCATTAATGTTCAAAATGTTTGGTGTATAGTTACTCAACTCAAACACTGCGATACCAGGTGGCAGCTCGCTCCCCAAGCTCAAGTGATGCGGAATTTGTGACATATATGGAAGATATCTTAGCAGAAATCTCAAAAAATTCTGTGAACACTGTTGTCATTGGCGATTTTAACATAAACATGAACGTAGTATCAATCTACAGCAGAAAACTCAATGATGTTTTCTTGCAACAAGCCATGCAACAGCTGATAAATTTTAATACGAGGGTGACGGAACATTCGGAAACACGTATCGACTTGTTGTGTTCCAATGATAACCGAGTTATATGCGAAAAGGTCGAGGATCATAGAATATCAGACCACGAAACAATAATGTTTCGACTCAATGTCAATAAGCTAAAACCACTTGCTAAGGAGACAGAAGTAATATCCTGGGAGAGATATAACCCTGAGAACTTAACAAGATTACTAAGGCAGTGCGATTTCTCCAACTTAAGTTTTTTCGATGCTGACGGTATGCTGGAGCATATTACTCATTGCATTATGTGGTCGCATTAAGCAGATGAAGAAATGGTATGATAGGCAATTGACAGAGATGAACAAGTGTAAATCTAAATCCCACGAGAAAGCAGTGTTGTCAGGGTACTGGGGTGAATATAATATAGTGAGAAGCAGGTATAAAAAAATGGTAAGGTGTAAAAAAATTAAATACTTAGAGCATACATAAGTTGGAAATAAATAAGGGTGGCATAAAAAACACTGAGCTTGACATGTGGATATACTTAAAGGAGGTAGTCAATAACACGGAGGTCAAAGAAAATATTGGAGAAGTGATAATAAATAACACCAACTACGTAGACAGCTTTGAATTGCGGAAAACTTAAATAATTTTTTCGTTGACAGTATTTTGGAAATACACACCAATATAGAGTGTGTAAACTATGACTTTTTCGAGCAACGAGCTTCCACAAGTACGTTTAAATTTGAAGAGGTCTTAACGGAAGACATTCTTCAAATTGCCAAAAATATTAAGCGGAAAATTGGGGGAAACAACCTACTATCTGAAGGTGTTATTAAGGACTCTGCTGATTATATGGGATATTTCTATGCCCTACTAATAAATAAGAGTCTCCAAACAGGATCAGTACCGGGAGAATGGAAAATTTCATCAATAGTGTCCGTTAAGAAAGTTAGAAAAACGGTTAAAGCGGCCTATCAGTACTCTCCCTACCACCTACCAGTACTATGTGGAATCCAATAAAATACTCATAAAAGAACAATCTGGATTCAGAGCTTAACACTCCTGTGAGACTGCGCTGAATCTGGTGCTTTCTTACTGGAAGGAAGATGTTAACTGCCACCTTAATGTAGTAGCAGTATTTATTGATCTTAAAAGAGCATTTGAAACAGTTGAAAGGGTCCGAATGTTATAATAATAATAATAATAATAATAATAATAATAAACTAAAATACATTGGCATAAAAAACACTGACCTTGACTGGTTTAGAAGCTTTCTATGTAATCGTAGGCAACAAACAATAGTTAATTCAAAGATGTCTAGTAAGATAGCCGTAAACATCGGCTTACCACAGGGCTCAGTTTTGGCACCCCTGCTCCTTAATATATATATAAACGATATTAAAAGTTCTCTCAAACATTGTAAAATAAAACTCTTTGCGGATGATGCCTTGTTAACGATCAGTGATAGGGAACTACCAAATGCGATTGTGAAAACGCAAGAAGATCTTAATTATTTGTATCAATGGCTGTGTTCAAATAAACTCAAACTGAATGTGAACAAGACTAAGTTTATGGTATTTTCCAGAGCGGCAAATGCTTACTGCATAAGCCGTGAATTAAAAAGCAAAGATGAAAATATCGAAGAGGTGAAAAGTGTCAAGTACCTAGGAATATACATAGACAACAAACTAAAGTTTGATGAGCACGTTGAATATACAGTCCACAAGATTGCTAAAAAAATTGGCCTTATAAACAGATCGTGTAAGTACTTGGGAAGAAGATATAAAACATTGGGGTAGGTAGTAGAACCGCGCTTTACATACTGCCCTACGATTTTCTTCCTAGCGGGGAACTCACAAAACTGCAAAACCGAGCGATGAGATTCATCCTCAAAAAACCGTACAACGCACCAACAAGATTTATGATTGAAACCTTGAATTGGTTCAGCGTGAAGCAACAAGTTTTTTACCACGCTATGAAATTTGTGTAAAATATTAAGAAGGGCAACCTGCCGGATTATCTTTGCGATAATCTCCGAAATATATAAATGAGACCCATACATGTTTGTTGAGAGAGAATAACAGCTTCAGACTCCCCAAGTATAGAACGGAAGTGGACAAAAAAAATATTTTTTATAAAGGCTTAAAGTGCTTTAATGAATTACCAGAGGCAATAAAAAATTTTGATACTATCACTCTTTTCAAGCGGCTGCTATATGACTATTGTAGAACGCAGCCTACAAGATAGTGATGTACAGTGTTGCCAAACATGGGCTTTTCCTACCAAAACTGGTAGTTTTTTTCCATTTGGTAGGTTGGTAGGCTTGATTGGATTTTGGTAGGTTTCGGGCCAATGAGTAATAGTTATTTGCGAAAAATAGTAAATATGTACGTACATATCTCCAAATATTTTAGCAACCTTTTTTACACAAATATTTCACCGGTGCGTTCGTATAATGGCGGCCACAAACATGTAAATATGCCTGATTCCTAAGTACAAACGTTATTATTGCCAATATGCAATACGGACATCCATATATCGTGACCTAAGGGTGAAAAGGTGCCAAGTCCATTTTTAGAAATTTTTCAAGAGAGACGAAAAATCGATGTAGTTTCGTATTACCTGTCATCTGCGGTATAATTTATGGCGTACTTGGACCAAGATTCCAGAAAAGTCTGCCAATGGGCTCGTACTCAACCATATTTCAGGCGGAAGTCTTCCCAATCGAAGTCTGTGTTCGCGAATGTCATCGTAGAAGGCAAAAGAGGCCAGAATAAGTATTAAGTCGGAGATTCAGGCAGCGTTAAAGGCCTTAGAGTCTTTTAAAATGGCATCAAGGCTTGTAAACTCTTTAACCACCTGCGAGCCCAAAATAGCGTCACGCATGAAGGGTTTGAAGGCAACGAAAGGGCTGACTGTCTCGCAAAGCGTGAAGCCCAAATGCGTATGCATAGTCCCTAGCCTTTCTGTGGTACATCTAAAGGATACACTGCAGACCTACTTAGGAGCTAGCTGGGAATAGTCTCAAATTGCTGCCTACTGGCGGAAGTCAAAGGGAATAAGACAATCAAAGATATGCATAACTATGCAGCAGGAACTCCAAAAGACACCTTGAACTTAGAACTCTTACTGGCTACCTGACAGCACACTGCAAGTTAACGTACGGTTTTAATTAAATGGGTCTTTTTGTAGAGACTGGTTTGTCGGCTGGTGAAAGAAACCCCAGAGTATATTCTATGTGCCTGTCCACGAAGCATGAATCGTAGATTGATACACCTTGGAGAACGATTGCCTTCTCCATCTAAAATTTGGAACATGGCCTCATCCAAAGTGCAGAGCTTTTTAAATAGCCTAAGGTTGGAGTGATTACAATTTTCATTTAGCCCAATATATCTTCTTAGGTCGCAGCGCGGGTATCTTCGACGTAATAATAA